AGCTTCTCTCCCACGGACTGTGTTTAAAATGTCTTTTGTCAAATAACTTGGGGGGTCCCTTTTATGCTTTCAGTACTGAAGCTGCTTTTTTGAAGCATAAATCCAGGCCCCTTCATCAAGGCAGAAAGCTCTGCCGGTTCTGCTGCGTTTCCACGGCTCGGTACAGGGCTGGATGCACTTCACTGGGAGGTGTGAAGGAGCATCCTGGAAGAGATGGAAGCTAAATATATTCTGCTACAAGATTTCTTCCATTCCTCTCTACACCCCCAGATCCCAGAGACTACAATGGCTTATGCAGGGCTTTACATATGCAGCTAATGGTGGAGGGAGGAGAATTCCCACGGATAAAGAGCTTTAGCCCAGTACCAGCACAGCACACAGCCTGAAACGGTGCTGGGGTGGGTTTTGAGGGAAAGCACTCCCATCATCACTTCCAAAGAGAGATCCTACACAATTATTTTTAGAAAAGGATCCCTGGATATAAGGAGACCCTTCCCTACAGCTTTGATATAGGCACCTGGACAAGCTGGAGAGGGGATGGGATTTCATCTAGACCCCCACGCCTCTCTCCTTAGTTTTTCCTTTTCCTTAGCTCTAAGGGGCTTCCCAACTCAGGGAGTTTATTTTCACCCTTTGACACCCAGCTACCCATATGCATCACGTGGCTTGCAAGTCTTAAATGCCGTGGCTAGGCCTCCTGAGACCAGGTGCCTGATGACACGCTTCCAATCTTCTAACAGAGCATTGTCTCCTTTGTCTTCAAGGAGCCCAACTCCATAAAAGCACAAAAGAGCAAGCAAGAGTTTCCTCTCATTTGCCCCTGATTTTATGCTTATGTAATTCCACTAATTTCATTTGCATGAGAACAGAAACAGATCCCTGGTCTCTTGGTAGAAATTATTTTACAGGGCTGTGATCCAAACCAGAAGGCCAAGCAGGAGTCTGCTTCACACGCACAAACCACCACAGCAGAAGTGACATGTAAAGTGGTTATTTTATTCCCACTCCACGTTTTTATGCACGTTGATGTACATTGAATGTGGTGGGATGGGGACAGAGGAGAACAGCTAGCTGAGCAGCTCTCCTTCTTCCACACATGGAAGTTGTCTGACTGGTTTTATCCTCCAGGTACCCAAAGGAAATGAAGCCATTAGGAGGGACACCTCAGAGTTGTAAACTCCGAGGGGAAGAAATTACTATTGGTTTGACAGGTTTGTAAGTGAATTACTTATTTATGGAGCTCAATAGATTTAATATTAATCACAGATGAAAGAAACACGAGTTAAACGCGCTATGCTAACACGCGCGTGGCCTTCTCTTTCACTCGAGAATGGCTCGAGTTAAAATTGCTCCTGGTGCGACCACAGACAATCAAGGCGGGAGGGCTGAACTGAGGGAGAAATGAAAGCAAACCAAATTGCTTTTCAAAGTTTCAAATGAGCGTGCTGCTGTTGGAAGTGCTATAAAAGATAGCACAAAAGAGCCAGCTCAAAATCGTGGCTCAAGCTCAATTTTGTGCAAGCAATCATCAATTTTAACAGCAGCTTTGTGCTCGTCGGGGGGCAGTGGACAAGTGAAAAAAAGTTGACCTCATCATCATGTGAAGTTTCCTATTCCTGTCCTGAGTTGTCATTGGTAAAAGCAGGCAGCAAGAATTCCAGTTGTAAACAGTGATGTGCTGCCAATGTTTCAGCAAGGGGAGCCCACATTTTTGCTCCCTGCAGCTGTAATGCAGCTTGTGCGTAAGGGGCTGGGTAGCTGCAGAGGAGAAGGCTCCAGCCCAGCCCTCCCTTCATCTGCTGCTCTGGTGAGACATAAAGGCCCTTTCTTAGGTATAACTAGAGGGAGATGCCGCAATTTGGCACGTGGACTTTGAGAGTCGTAGGGTCTTGTTTCCATCCAACTGCTCACAGAAATAGGAGCAAGAAGCCCTTGTACCCACAGTAATCACACACCATATAGACACGTCTGCAGGTCTTGCACCCTCCTGACTCGTTCTCTGAGCTCATGGCCCTTGTCCAGATCATCCTCCTGGGAGGGAGGCAGGACACTTGTTTTTTGGGTGGTTGACCAAGGACCATACTGGTGGCATTGCAGCCCTTCCAGTGAGAAGATATTCCTGAAACGTGAGGTGAAATTCAGCTCCCCTCCAAACCACTGTGGGTGAGACCCTGTTGGGGAGCTGGAGGGCCTGATGCAGCAGAACGATGAGTTCCCTTCCAACGCGGCTGCCAAAGGCGGCAGAGGTGCTTCAGCGTGCAGCTCCTGCTCTTACTTGTGGGATGGCTCCCTCAAATTTAGTTTTAAAAGCACAGGGATTAGTGACTGGCTGTCTCACCACTTGCCTGGCAGTTTTCCTGGGTGCAATTAAAAACGTCTCCGGAAGACATAATAGGAGTCAGCGGAATTTTTAAAGCATCGGGCAGACAATGTACAACAGGTTGGAAAACACACTTGGTATCTGCCATCCCATGATGGAAACAGCCAAAGAGAAAAAAGCTCTAGTTAAAGGAAATCAGAAAAAAAAAGAGCTTTGGAGTGAATTTCAGGGATAGTAACCTCCCTTTGAAATAAGTCTGTGCAGTCATCATCTTGGAGAACCTTGAAAATGTTTGCATTTTTTTCCTACTTTATATCATTATAAGTATCCCACTTTTTTTTTTTTCCAGGTCTAGTCAATATTGTCATTTAAGCAACCAAAGGCTCTCTTCTAAACAATTGGGAAAAAAAATGCTTGTAAAACTATGCAAATACCTATTTCCAAAAATAACTAAAACTGCTGTGGTTTCAGGGACACAAATGATGTATTTTGAAGTAGGGCTAAATGTTTATTTACATGAGAGAGCATGCTAGCTCTGGTCTACTGAGACAATAATGGGCATAAATCCTTACATCTTACGGTCCACTGAATAAAAAGTAGATTATATTTTAAAAAGAGATCCGTCGTTTAGTGATCTACTACAGCTTTTAAGCAAAACAATTAACTTTTGATGCTTAACAAAAGAATAATTATTTTGGTAAGGATTTATTTCTTTTGATTTTAAAACTCTCCTAGGACTTATTGCCCTGGTTTGAGGTTTTAATGAGAAGACGGGATAAATTAAAGTAAGAGCGAAGGCGAGCATTTATTGTGCCCTATAGAAAAGTGTCAGTCCAAAGGCAGATTGTCAGCTTCTTCACTCAGTCTTCTCTTCGTGGCTCAGTCAATGTAGTGAGGCTTTAGTATGGTCTTACCCAACCAGTGGTGGATTTCCTCTGAGGCAGAGGATGTCCACAGAGGTACAAAAGCTGCCCCGTGCCCCCGCCTACCTCCATCGCCCGGCGAAGGAGCTGGCGCGAGCGGTTAGAGGCAAAGAGATGGGGCCTGAGCAGAAGAGGGTTGTGATACTTGACTGCTGGAGCAGCTAGCACTAATTTGAGCAGTCCAAAGGTCACGACTATTTATGCAGATAAAAGGTCAATGGCAAGCTGGCATGTGGCTGCAGGCTATCTTGGTACGCACTTCACCCGGAGCACTGATACGGACTTCTGATTCACAGTTTGTCTTTCTGCATGAACTTTCAGGCCAAGCTTTGGCTGAAATAAAACATGCTGGGAAAAAAAAATCTCTGCCATGGGAGTTGACACAGTTAGGAGCCAGATGCAGTTTTTGTGGCTCAGGCTCATCTGTAGCTAAATCAAACCTTTGAATCATTATTTATAAAAGACAGCCAAATTCTGAACTGTTTGCTCAGTATTTAGTCAGTCCTTATGTGGATAAACTCCTCTGAAAGGCTGCCTGAGTACAGATAGAGGAAAAAGTGAATAAGATGCTCGAGATGTGACTGGCTGAAAGAAAGCCTGCAAAATACCTACTGACTTCAACAGAGATGGGGTTCTTCAACTGTCAGTATGTGGACAAAAATCACTTTAAATGCGCAGGACTGTAGAGCACAAGACTAAATGACATAGTTTGACTTTCCAGAGCAGTTTCAGTTGAGGTGAAACAATGTCTATTTGGGTGAAAAAGGGAAGTAGATATACTGCATTTAGTCTAGTCAGATTTTATACTATATTTGAAATTTTATAGTTGGAAAGTGCTTCATCCTTTGCTGTCATTAGAAAATGAAAACATATTTTAAACTTCACATCCAGGAGTTGTCTGTCTACTTGCACCAATTCTGAACAAAATCCTTTTGCCTTCTGTTGCAAATCAGTCCTGTATGCTCTGGTCCCCAGTAGGAAGTGTGCAAAGTATTTTGTGACATTTCATTTCCCCCACATGGGAAAGCATCGTTACATTGATTTGTTTTTCATCACAGAGGTATTTGGCACTATGCCCTAATTAAGGTTGCAGCAATAACTCTATTATAAGCACTGCTTTGCCTCCCCCAGTAGTTTTTTTAATAGGAGTTAGCTATTATTCTGTTATTTTTGTTGGCTAATAAAAAAATAAATATGTTAGGATGAAAAACTCCAATGTAGAAAGCCACCAAAGGAAACTGTCTTCTGTCCTGGCAAAACATTTTTTACCTCTAGCCGTCTCTTTCCATCAAAATGGAGAATTGCCAAGTCCTTCCTCAACTGTTGTCTTCCCAGATCTCCACACAAGGGGCAGTTTAAATGGTAGCCTCAGCATCATTTCCTTGGATGCATTTTGTCAAATTTATTAATTCTATTACACTCGTTCTTCGCTCCATATTTTGTGAGCTTGGTTTTGGGCAAACTGAAACCAAGCCGGTGACAAAGGTGTAGGCTGGCTGGTGAATAAGCATATTTTGTACGCATTTTCCCACTGAAAATGGCAAACTCCAGCCGCTGCACGTTTGCAAGTACGTTTTCAGCCATACCCATCAAACCGAAGGGGTCCGTCACCGTGCCCGCAGACAGGCAGCACGCCATCCCTACGGCTTGCAATGCACCCCGTGCAGCTCTAAGCGCGGTGACGGTGACTCCCAGGGATGGAGGTGTCTGGCCCACGTGTGGAAGTCACTCTTGTAGACTTTCTCTTTCTCTTACAGTTCATCAAAGGGAAGAAAAAGAAGCCTTTGCAGCATCTGAAGACATTGGAATATACTCTGCGATTTCCTGGACTTTATGCTGCCTCTTGTAAGTGTTACCTACTTTCAGCCCTTGGAAAACAGGACTGCACTATAGACAATGACTGTGGGATTTCTGTTATCTTGGAGCAAATACAGTTTTTATGCTTTCCCCCCTATTAAAGTACTTTAGAAAATGAAGTACAGAAAAAGCAAGATCTTGCTCATAATTAGCGCTGAGGGCCAGCTATTCTTGTACTTCAAGAACATGGTTTAGAAAGGGGATCCGCTACTGCCTCTGCCCAGGCAGCTTTCTCATCTTGCAGAATGATCTGCTGGTGAGATGAAGACTTACAGCTATGTTTTCCTTGTAAGGGGTCCAGAAAATACTGCAGGTTTATGGACAATGTTCCATCAGAAATCCTCATAAAATGGAAGCAGTTGTTTATCTCTTAAAAAAAGAAAAAAAAAAGAAAAAAAGAAAAGATTGTGAGCCCCACTGGCTTTCTACTCTTAATCCTAGTCCAGAGCCTGGGATTAGATTTTGCATTTTCCTCCAGCCTCTCTCAGTTTTATGTGAGGGCACCTATCTACTTTTTTGGACTCTCCCATCTCCTTTCATTTTAGTGAATGGTCACAGTGTAGTTAACGTCTCGGCTTTAGGTCACCTGAATCAGCTTTGCAACATCTAGCCTTGAGGAGTGGAGCCATGTAATCCCCTAAATAGAGCGCTGTGTTCTCTAACGAAGGGCTTCTTGAGTGGGTCTGAAGCCCACTGGTTGGTGTTAAGCAGCACCCTGCTAGAGCTGCCTTGCTAGCCCCACCTGAGTCACTGAAATCCTAATTTGGACGTGCCTGCATCGCCTTCAGCATTGAGGCAGTGAAACCCGGCGGTGTGAGGAATCCCCCTGTCCTATTCCATCAGGGAAGGAGTGCAATCCCAGTGACTTCCAGGCACTGTGCAGTTCGGGTGTGACTCCTTCAGGGACCAGGCACAAAGGACAGGGCAAAGCTTTCCAAACCCATAAGGAAAAAGCACAGCTATTCCCACAACTGTGTTTATGTTAGAGGCGGCGTCTTCCATCCAACACAGCCAACAAACCTCTATTTTTAACTAACCGCTGCTGCCATCCGGGTGAGGCCCAGGTAGCTGGATGAGCAGTCACCCCAATTCCTCCCAGTTTTCAGCATTCTGGGTTGTTTTATCAATAGATGCTCTCTGGATATCAGAAATAGAGATACCTCATTTATCACCTTAAAATTTTGCAAAGTTTTTCCTTACTAAGGGCTGAATGGGCATTCCAAGTACATCTGAGTGGCTAAATACTGATCGACACCCTAGTTTTAGACCCATGGCATTGGCTGCGCCACTTAAAGCTGGAACTGGGGATGAAGGCCTTCTCAGGGTGGCAGGTTCTCTTTTACAGACAAAGAATAAAAAAAGGGAGACCCCTTATGCAAATACAGCCATAAGCTATTTTCCCTCTGTATGTAGCGGTTAGTTAAATGCTAAGTTTTAGCACTCATTATAAGCAGAGAACTTTTTTCTGCTTACCTGAGAAGTTAACTTACTAAATTCGCAATTGGTTTCTAATTAGGTTGTTGAAATTATTACTATAATCTACATGGAAATGACATAGCAAAACTTGAGGAGGCAGCTATAGCGTTTTATACCATTGCTCAGCGCTCTGTATATGTCAGTCTGCACGATCCCTTAAAGCATTATTAAAATGACAGAATAAATTGACTTTATACAATATTAAATATACTGCATAAAGTAACTGTGAAAATTACCGGCCTATGCAGCTAATCTAACCTTGTACCTCAAGTTGCTTTTCTATTTTTTTGCCTCAATCCTGAAACTGGACTTTTATAAGACTCTATTTTTGCGTGGAGGGGGAAAGAAAAAAAAAGTACAGCCCACAAACACTGACAAATCTATTAAATTACATACCAGAGAGAGAAATTATCATGTTAAAAAGTCCGAGTTGGTGGAGCTATCCTGGACCATTGTGACAGAGAAATTAAGAGTCAATTCCCATTACTGCTGTCAGAGGTGTCAGCGCCGTAGCCCGCAGCTGCGGCCGGTCATTTGATGTATTATTTCCCTGCCTCTCACGGCACATGCAGCTGCAGAGCGTAGCGGGGCTGCTGGAAAGCAATTCTGCCCCTCGGGGCTACCGAGAGAGGACCCTGGCCTCAACACACCTCAGAAGCTGCTGTTGTTTTACAGACCTGAGATTGCTGGCAACCTGTTTGCCAGAGGGATGAGTTCCCCCCTCTCCCGTTAATTTCACCCGGGTGTTGGCTTTAATGCCTGGTGATGCCGCTGTAAGTGTTGGTGTAATTTCACCGGTAGTGTAATTGCAAGTTAACTTCGTGGCTGATCTCTTCAACAGATGGAAGCAGGGTGGGGGTGGTGATGAAACCCACAGGAAATGGGTGCTGCTGGAGGAAAATGCAGATGGAAAAAAGGAGATACACAAGAACAGAAAAAGGGGAGAGAAAGCGATCATAGAGCCAGGGGACATAGGAAATACATGGTAGAGGGAGGGCACTCTGAATGGCCACCTCTTCTACCTTTAGAGAAAACAATCTAACAAAAAAGAGGACGAAGAACTGAATAAATTACAGATACACAATACTTTAACGGACATATACAGAAATAAACAGTGTGGTGGTCAGGTTCTCTGGGACCTGAAATTCTTGCATTCAAGTCCTTACTCCATGGCAGATCCTTAGGCCATAATTAAAGAGCCTACACTTTATTTACCCTGTGAGCCTCATGCTTCTTACGGCCTCGATGCTCCTGAGGCGGCCAGTAGCAAATTCCAGGAACAGGAACGCAGGCAGAACAGGCTGTCTTGGAACAGCCTTTCCATATACTTTTCACCAAATCCCTGGGGACCTGCTTCACAGAAAGGTCTATGTACCTCATCTCAATGGATTTCTTGAGCCTTGGCACCTGAGTAAGCTGCCTATGAAGCTGGGCGTCACGATGCTCTGCCTCTCCAAGATACTGTGAGGATAAAGGACAGACACCAGGGAAAGGGCTTGGTAAACCAGGCCCAGCACCAGGCACGTGTGGGCGTTTCATTGCCAGGGCCCAAGCTAGCGTCTCCACAAGAAGATGGTTTTGCTCCAGACAGACATGCCAGCGCTCTGCTCTGCTCTGCTCCAGATTCGAGGGTGCGACACACAGGCACCCGGAGCGGTGCTGTGCCGCTTTTATCCCAAATCTAGAGCGGGTGATGAATTTTTTTTGGTCAAGAACTTGTCTGTGGTGATTCATGCCTCTGGGACTGTAAAGAAGTTGGGAACATCAAAAGCAATCCTTAAAACTGAACCAAAGGGGGCACGGGGAGGAGCAGAACTGCTTGAAGCCCTCTCAATGCCCCATCTACCTGCATCGAGCATGGCCTGACCACGGCTGGGGGTTTGCTCCTTTTTCATATTGCAGAGGCTCGAGGAACTGTGCACAGCAATAATCTTGGCACTTATGCTGTCTTTGAAAAGTATTTCATCCATCTAGCTATACATTAAACCTTTCTAAAATGTTGTCAAGAGCTTGAAAAGACAATGGTTTAGCTGTGCTTGATTTTTGGGCCATAAATGCATCTAAATGGAAAGGCGGCCTAAAAAGCTAACATATCACAAAATAGTAACTTCAGATTTCAAGGCTGAAGGCCAAATTTAAGTCTATGGTGATCACAAGGTGAGGCAGAACAGATGCGAGGCACTAGGCTTGATGAAGGGGCCTCTGACTATTTTGAGAAACCAGGCCTTGTTCTGGTTTCTCCCCTTTGCTCCTGAGTTCAGGGGGGACACGGGATTACCTCTGGGAAGAGAGCCAGCCTGAGAATTTAAATTGATATTCTGAGGGAAAAACTCAACAGAATTTTTGTGGAGAGCTTGTTCATGGCAGTCCCTTCCTGAGCACATCCCCTTTATACAGCCTATAAAACAAAACGACTGCGAGGAGCGGAGAAGAGCGAAACCTCTCTCGTGTGTGAAGTGAGAGCCATGGCTCTGGTCTGTGTAATGACAGCAACGAGTAGACAGGTATAACATACTATTCACTTGGAAGCACTGTCTAAGTATCAACTAAGTAACTATTGCAATGGATACGGAAGTAGGTAATTTTGATTGAGGTGCATCTGGCAATTTGTTTTCAAACTTAGGTCAGAAAACTCAAGACTTGGGCCCCCAAAGTTTAATAATGTATTTGCGGTCCTGAAATAAGCCTTGTGGTTGTAGGAGACGACAGGTAGGCCTCTCACTGAGCTCTGCCAACACTGCAGCTATTTGTTGAATTATCCATCGGTTTCATGTACACTACGTGGCTGGAAAATACATTTGCAAGTTTGAAAACTTTGCCCGATTTGCCCAAACGCACCTTTAGTGAAATCCCTGCCAAGACTCGAGATTTTTACCTCAGAACTCATGGCCATCCCCTTACCCCCCCCCCGCCGGCACAAGCCCAGGGTATACGCGGCTCCTACAAGGAGAGGAAACCTCTTATCTTTTAAATCAGCGCCACCAGCCATGAACCCCCCCACCCCACCCCCTTCATGGCTTTGCAGAGCGAGGTGGGGAATATTTTGCCGGACTGCGCTGGATGCGGGGGGAGATCTCATTTAGTAACCCCGTGGGTGAGGCCTTTTTTTTTTTTTTTTTTTTTTTTTTGCGGGCGGGCGGGGTAAAAAAAAAAAAAAAAAAAAAAAAAAAAAAAAAAGTTCTAGGAAAAATATTAAACCC